TTTTTTTTTGGAAGGACAGATAACAGAATTATTATAGTTTCTGGATGGCTTATGAAGCACACATTTAAGTATTAAATGAAATTGTTTATAAAATATATAAGAAAGAGGCAACACCCAAAATAGTCCGCAGGCCACGCGTTCTTTGGCGCAAATATGAATGTACAAAAAAAAAAAAAAATTTACATATCTATGAGTAGAGTATCACGTAGGGTTTTTTGTATGTTTGCGAGTGTTCGAGTGAAAAAGTTCAATTTTCAGATAACAGTTTCTAAAAATTCTCTTTTCCCAATTATCTAACATGTGGGTGCTTGTCTACGTCTTTAAAAACATTCAATCTCGATTGCCAAGGTTCTCGAGCTTGAAAGCTACAGTTTTCTAGATCGAATAGAAATCTTTTCACATTAATATTACATTTGTCTAACTCATCGGCCGAAAGATCTTTTACGGTTCATGTTACTAGATATTAGAATGGCTTACCACTAAGTCTAAAACCCTTCGAATGTTTTTTGAATACGTTTAGACGAAAATTGATCGCACCACTAAACCTAAAACTCATATGTTATTGTTGGTAGAAATTGGTTTATGGAGTATTTGCAGCCATCTAACTGCAAGGAAAAATGAATTATTTTCCACGCATTTTTCCTAGAAGTTCTAATGTATCTATTATGTCAACAAAAAAATTTCTGAAAACTCTACCCCCTTCCTCCCTTAAAACTACCGGCATATAACTGCTTTAAGAAGTGTTTTCTATTCTTATGCCTGTCTTACTTTTTTTTTCTCGTTGGATTAGAAGAAATTAGAGAAGCAAAGCACGGAACTAAAACTCACAAAGCGCTATCAAAAAAAAGGTACACGATTTTACTGAAAAAATTTATAAATGCTGGCAACGCAAATGAATTCTAGCGATTTCTCCGTCAGAAAGTTTTATCTTTAAGTTTTACGGGACAGTGCATGTTACCTCCTCAAAGAATACGCTATACAGTTTCTTCGAGCTTTGAATAAGTCCAATTCTGTCCCAAGGAAGAACAAAAGCAGTTTTCCTTGGCAGTGGTCTTTTTTTGAAGGATGAAGGATTTGAAGGATTATCCACGACTCTGATCAACCCACAAGAACTAATGTGATTGAATCGCAGAAAAACACAGTCATTGTATTGGAATTACCCAGCATTATAATGTTCGGCCACATGTGACAGAGAGAGCTCAGCCAACTCTGCGAACACTGAATCTGATGCTCTTTCCACTGTTTTTAGCCGATGTTGGTCTTTCTGTTTAGCATTAGCTTCCATCGATGATTTATTAGCTATTCAAACATTCTTAAGAGAAAAAGCAATAAAATTGAGCTTTTGATGAGCAGCCTCAAACGACCAGTTGTTCTTTTTCCGTAATGGAATTCATGTTCTGCCCAGGAAATAGAGAAAGTAAGCAATTGCTCATCGCTAAAGTTTTGAATAAAATGCCTCCTGCCATTTGTTACGATAAAAATGAAGTGAAATCGAGTGGAATTTCAATTGAAACCCCTCAACAGCTTATTCGCATTCCTAGTAGGACATGGAAAAGCATGAATATCTTAAAACCGAAAGAAAGTGCATAAAGCATTAACATCAACAGTAATCAATCGCACGATCGTTCATCACAGTTAAGTGACTACAATTGACGTAATTGAGACATTAAATAAGTTACATTTTAGCATATTAGCTATTGGGTGTTTGCATGTATTTTGATCATTTTTTCACTTGGAAAATTAGTACAATATTTTCCATCATTTTCTACAAACTTTTCCATCTTTCTGATAGCATGGCAATAACGTATGGAAAGAACGATATTGGTTTGGCAGAGATCCAATGATCGACCCATTTTTGCAGTTCTTCGCAAAGATCGCTATGTGTGGTGAACGCGGTGGGTGCCGCAGAACTTGCCATTCACACTGCAACAGTATATCCTTGACAACTCTTGCAATGTGTTGTCATGCAAGATAATGGCTTTTTGTGTCTGATACCCTCCCTTTGCTGGCCTTTTCTGCAACAGCACATCGTAAGCGTTTCGTTCGGTTTTATCAGCTTGTACTGCGCTACACCTTGCTGATTCCGCCATATTCGCAGCAAAAATTTATGGCCATGAATATTCCACCTCGGCGTCGATGTGAGTGGCTCTGCTGCACTAACCCACCACCTTTTGCGCTTGAGATTGCGGTACTAGACCCACATTTCATCACCGGTTATAATATGCCATAGCAAACTTCCTTCTTGCCTGGCAAGCATTGGAACCGCGAAGCTAAAACAATTTGAACTGGCATTTTCAGTCAATTCGTATGGTAGCCATTTTCTCTCCTTTTGGATTTTTCGTATCGCATGTAAACGTCTAAAGCCAGTTGATTCATCAACTGCTAATATGTTCGACAGTTATGTTATGAGTTTGAGCTGGGGTTTTCGTTCAAGAAGTCTTGCAATTCATTGTCTTCGACATTTTTTGGTCCTCCAGGCGATTCTTCATCGTTGACATCGAAATAACCGCTTTCGAACCGTTGGAATAAGATAAAAGGGCAAGACAATAAGCTTCCAAAAATGTTTGATGAACTTCGGCAGATGATGATTAATGTCGGCGTACGCTGAATAACTCAATAATACCAAATGGAAAACTATTATTTTATGTTGATAAAGGTTGAATTTAATCGTTACGTACATTTGATTTTATCATTTTTACCAACAGCTGTCGCTGATCAAAATACATGCAAGCACCTATTATTTTCATATAATTCCGATGCACCCGGGACCTGGAATCCGGCCTCTATAAAGTATTTTACATTTGGAATTTGAAGGGGTTTGAAAGTCGAACTGTACCAAACCATTTTAATTTGTGTTTTTACAAGTGATACAAAAACGTAAACAAATAAATGTGGTTTTGTTGCTTCCTTCTCGTCTCTTTATCCATATTAATCATTTCTTATTAATCACATCTTTTTTTTTTTATAACTATTTTTTAGTAAAAACATCAACATTTAGAACTAATCATTGAGTTTCTAAATAAATTTCTTGCCGCTGTACTGCAGAATACCACTGCTATACCACCCTACTTGCAAAGCGCAGATTTAGCCATCAGATAACTTATGCAAGTTTCTCTATTTAACTAATCACCATGGGAGAGTCTAGACTTGCCAGTGGGTTCCTTCGGTTGGAAGTTTTCAAATTCAACATCACAGGTTAAATTAAAAGAAGGGGACTCTGTAAATGTACGAAAAGCGGTACAAGTTAAAAACAGCGGTTGAAAACATTTCTCATTTTCGTTTAATCTACGAAACAACTAGATCCGACATTTGGCATGCGAATGTTTCTAGCAAGCTTGGGGTAAAGTTGCCGCCAGTTTCATAATTGGTAACACTCTAAAATCCAATAAGAAAATTCTCATAAGAAACTCACTCATTTACTTTTTATCTTAGTCGATGTGCATTCCAGCAGATTCGTCGAAAGTCAAACAATTAAAATTAATACAAGCAATACTTTGTATTTACAAGTATGCATACATCTATTTCGGAATTTATAGTAGAAAAATGTCGATTAGATATTTAAGCAAAACTAGAACTAGTTATGAAATGTTCTTTAAGATACGCGTGTAAAACGTTTCAATGTTTTAATAATATAAGGCGCAGTACAAAGGGCTAAAGTACGTAATATGTACTCAAGACTGGCGTAAATAACGAAATCGATTTGTCCATGATTGCTTTATTTCTCCTTTGGCCATTTTTTTTTACCTAGTTTAACTTTCGTTACAAGGAAAAACCAGATCGATTGATAAGAAGAACGACAAGCAAGTCAACTGTTAGGCAAATTGCTTTGTCTGCTCCAAGTTTTGATTATGCTTTCAATATATTATTTAGAATGTAAAAGTGATTTAAATCTTTACTAGATCATTAGGAATTAGAAAATGTTGTTGTGCAGTACATAGGGACCTCAAAAAAAAACCGCAAAAAAAATTATTCAGAAGCTTCATAAAGAGCTGATTTTTCGCAACATGTCAAAGAAAATAGTTTGTTTAGAATAATTTCCTGAATCGACCTAAGCCGGTCTCTTCGTCTGTCTATCTGATGCCTGTTCATTTGAGCGCGCAATTTTTGAGATAATCTGATGAAATTTGGTACAATGACGAACCCTATTGAAAATGCTGCGGATCGGTACACATTCTCAAGCACTCTCCATGTCACACCCTATTTTGAAAACCCTTGGTTGGAAATATTTTTTGAATAGTCTCTCCTATAACGATTTCTACGAAAACCCAGTCTTTATATAGTAAAAAAGATATAATTTTTATCAATCCCGTATTTGAACCTTGTAAGTCTGTTTTTTGGATACCATTGCACATAAGGTTTCTCAGGAAATATTGACTATGCTATGTGGCAACAAGATCTAATGTTTTACGATGAAAATTTATTTCTAATTGTAATTTGAAATAAAAATTAAGTGGACCAAATTTGGCACACATGGGTCTTTTTCTTGGATCTAGATTTCTTCTGAATTGTAAGGCCTTCAGAAAAAACTTTACTTTTTAATATTCTATGACGAAAATTAGTCCATAGTAACGATCGAGAAAAAAATTAACAACACGATCCGTCGTGGTAGAAAAGGGGCATTTTCTTTCCCCCTCTGTCTCTTTGCCCCTACACATATTCATAAACCGCATAAAAAAAGTTGCATAAAGAAAATCGCAAAAAGAAAATAGGTCGCATGTATCCATCCAATCGCACAAACAAAAAGGGCATAAATAAAAATCATACTAAAACCGATTTAACCGTATATGGTCTTCAACTATACTGTGCTGTCAACTTTTTAAACATAAATGTTTTCGAATATCATATAACAGCCCAATGAGAGATCATAGTCCAAAGTAGTGGATACGGGAAACTTCGATCGTATCCGAATATAGCTTTTCGTTTGTTATTTACAATTTAAAGACTTTTGTCATGTACTTACTTTCCTTTTCAGTTCTTTAAGCATCAACGACGTGTAAGCTGGGTGTTTGGTTTTCTTTATTACTGGGATTTATAAAGGCATCAAAACGAATTACCTACCATTTACCGCAGCGAGGAGGTCAACGGTAGTAACGCCAGCTGCCGGGAAAACAACCGCCACTGCTGCTGCTGCCTCAGGATCTACCTCTTCATCGTCGGCATCGTCGACAGATCTGTTGGGTTCGGGTTTTGTAGCTACATTTGCTAGCCCTTTCTTTGGCGGGGGTGGCGGTGGCAGCGTTAATAATAATAACGGCACTACAAACAATAACAGCAACAGCAATAATAATAATCAGAACAATTCCGTAACCTATGCAAGTGTAAGCGCTCAAAACAGTAGCATACCGTTACAATCGCAACAACAACAACAACAACAACAACAACAACAGCCCTTAATTGCCTTAACAGCCGCAAACACCTCAGCTAACGCCACAATCATGTCTACATTGGGATCGTCACCCAGCAGTTATGATGGTACTTTTGGAACTGGTCCGCATGCCACAATCGTTAAGGAAGGTTGGCTGCAGAAGCGGGGTGAACACATAAAAACCTGGCGTTCACGCTACTTTATATTACGTGGCGATGGCACCCTGATAGGCTATCGTAATAAACCTACCGGCAGCGGACCAGTGGATAAATTGAACGATTTCACGGTACGTGGATGTCAAATAATGACTGTAGATCGTCCGAAACCATATACGTTTATTATACGTGGACTGCAATGGACAACAGTAATTGAGCGTACATTTTGCGTGGACACCGATGAAGAACGGCAGCAATGGACAGATGCAATAAGGTTTGTTAATCGTCTTGAAAATTATTATAAATTTCTTAATTTTGTCTCTTTATATATCATCATCCGTTACTGAGTAGAACCGTGGCAAGTCGTTTAAGTGAATTAGGAGAAACAGCCATGTGTCCTTCTAATTCGACGGATATGACCGATGTCGATATGGCTTCCATAGCTGAAGTGGAACTATCTGAGAAATTTTCTGTGCAGGGCACTTCAACACGTAACAGCGGCGGCGTAAAGAAAGTGGTGAGTAGAGAAATTTCCATATTCAGGTAGACCGACGTAGACAGAGAGAAAAGAGAGAGAGTGCTAAAATAATTTTCTTGCATCTTCACTGATTTAGACTTTGGAAAATTTTGAATTTTTAAAAGTTTTGGGCAAAGGAACGTTCGGCAAAGTGATTTTGTGTCGTGAAAAAGCCACAGCCAAATTGTATGCTATAAAAATTCTCAAAAAAGAAGTCATCATACAAAAGGATGAAGTGGCTCACACTCTAACAGAAAGTCGAGTTCTACAAACCACAAATCATCCGTTTTTAATAGTGAGTCGTCTCTATGCATTGCCTTGCGAGATTAAATCTAAAGTTTTTCTATCTTTTGTAACTTCGTTTCAGTCTCTGAAATATTCTTTTCAGACAAACGATCGTTTATGCTTCGTTATGCAGTATGTGAACGGCGGTGAATTATTCTTTCATTTAAGTCATGAACGCTTGTTCTCAGAGTCCCGAACACGTTTCTACGGAGCCGAAATCATTTCAGCTTTAGGTTATTTGCATTCGCAGGGAATCATATATCGTGATTTGAAACTCGAAAATTTACTCCTCGACAAAGATGGGCACATTAAAATCGCTGATTTCGGTCTGTGCAAAGAAGACATCACCTATGGACGCACTACGAAAACTTTCTGCGGTACACCGGAATATTTAGCACCCGAAGTATTGGAAGATAACGATTACGGTCACGCTGTGGATTGGTGGGGTACGGGGGTGGTGATGTATGAAATGGTAAATTAATTTTTTAAAGAATATTCCATTGCTTATAAAAACAGAAAATATGTTTTCATGAAAAAACTTTTCAAAACGAATTTTTCCAAAATTGTTAAATTTCAAGGGGAACGGCATACTTCCAAAATAGACGTCTTTTTTTGACGGGCGACATTCCGCCTTACCGTTTGCTATACTCGAGTCTTTGGCCGTTCTCCACTATTAAATCATATGAAAAAATTACTTCGGAATGTTCAATGCATGTCGCGATATTGTTAGCAATATCCGCGATTATGATCCGGCAATCATTTGAAATGTGATTTTCGTTTACTTCCAATTTCCTATGGCGGAAGCAAAATGTAACGAATAAGTCGAAAATCAGCCGCCATAACAGAAGATGTTCAATATTTTCGGCCATTTGACTACCGAGAGAGAGAGAGGGCCCATTTTCTATTACAGTTATTTTTAGACTTTTGTTTAGGTTTTGTTCTTTGCATACTAATTATCTTATTTTTTAAAAAATTATAGATATGCGGACGTCTTCCATTTTATAATCGCGATCATGACGTTTTATTTACGCTGATATTGATGGAAGAGGTAAAATTTCCACGAACAATATCGGAGGAGGCTAGAAGTCTGCTGAGCGGACTTTTGCATAAAGATCCTACAAGGCGACTGGGGGGTGGTCCAGATGATGTCAGAGAAATACAAACGCATCCATTCTTCGCAAGTATTAATTGGACCGATCTAGTTCAAAAAAGGGTAAATTATAATCATCACCAGATTCATTATTAGGTCAAAAGAAATTTTTGGGCGCAGCGAAGATTATAAATTGAAATTTGTAAGATAAGACGACTTTATTCATCAACACGTTCTACCTCAGCTAGCAGACAGCTCTCCAAGTCATGTATTCCAGACCTAAAGCAATTTTTCAAAAGCCCTTTGGGATACCGATTTTTCGCCTTCTCATAACATATTTTTCTTTGAAAAGCACGTTTTACTTTAAGATTTTTTGTGCTGATGAAAGTTCCACAAGTATGAGTTCTTTGCAAGTCGACGTAATGCCTTAATGAAGTATGCTTTTGCTATTTTACTAAATGGCGTTTTTTTTATCAATGTTCGGCACCAATTCGTCCTAAATTAAGAGAGGAATAATCCTCTCTTATTGTTACATCCAAGAAACTAATGGATTAACATTTGCGTTTACCTAACAAAGCAACGCATCTTGTGTTACACGATTGGGGTGGAATTCGAGAAACCCCTTACCACCACTATTTTAAAAGAAGTTAACTCCTTTATAACATTTCTCATGTCAGCGTGAATTCGCACAGCCGTTAAGCCTTTTTTAAAAGAGGACTTAATTTGTACACTATTGCTAATGTTCTTCTTTTAAAAAAAATATAACTCTCATCGGGCAAGAATGGCCCTTAAGTACCCTGCACTATTTCAATTTGCGCTATATTTTACTTGCTCTTATCATTAAATACCAATAATTTTTGCCCGAAAAACTGTTTTTTGTTTTACAAAGCTTTACTTTTTTACCTTTACATGGAAGGAAAACAGATCAATGCACATGTAGCATAGATGATTTACATTTGAAAATCTATTGGGGACCAACCTTCATCATAAATTGTCGCCATATAAGATGTTGTTTCTTGTAAGAACATTTATATTTGAGGACGTTCAGTGAAAGAGACACAATCTCATCCAAATTTTCCACACATTTAGTATGTCATAGCCGATCTTTTCCAAAAAATATTAAAAATGGAAAAGTTTTTTTAAGCTTTTGATAATAGGTCCAGTCCAATCCATTTTTAAAAATCTTCCTGCAAGAATCACAACTCGCCCCAGATTTTATCAACATATGCCGTAAATGGTTTCTTATTGGTTGACTTAAAAATGAATGAAGAGACATGAAACAGAGAGAAAACTGTCTTAAATCGATCAGCGCTCTTAATTTTACGTACTACAATCAAAGACGATATAGAGGGTAGTAACGATGACATAAGTCGCTATGCTGTAGCCTTGTAATTAGTCTGCTATTGCCAATAAAAATTAATTATTTCGTAGATAACGCCACCCTTCAAGCCGCAAGTTACTTCAGATACCGACACTCGCTACTTTGACAAGGAATTCACGGGCGAAAGCGTAGAACTGACACCACCAGATCCAACAGGACCTTTGAAGTCTATAGCTGAAGAGCCTTTATTCCCACAGGTAAAGGTTTGGAATTCTTCGAAAAATACGAGACTCATCTTCATGACTTAATTTTTGTTTCTTTCAAAAAACAGTTCAGCTTTCAAGACATGGCGTCAACGTTAGGTACTTCATCGCACATTAGCAATTCGGCGAGCCTAGCTTCAATGCAATAGAAGAGCTCAACTTACATAACATCAGAGTGACCACATAGTAATCACCATAATCATTAACAAGCACATTTTATACTTTGTGTTAATAAAGCATTAAAATGGAGGAGGAAAAGAAAAAACAAAAATCAAGCAAATAGAGCAGTAAACATATGCCGTGTTCTCGTCTGCCAATTTTCAAGCCATTATTATATATTAAATCATTTATAAAACTCCAGTAGACACAAAACACACGTATATATATATATATACATATATATATTTATATATACATATGTATATATATATATATATTTATATATGTGTGTATATATAGATACAGAGAAAGATGCGTACATAAAGGTTTACGATTGCCTTTAATTAGGACAACAATACACAGCTGATGGTAGTCGCAAATGAAATCGATATTTATTGATTTTATACAAAATATGTGACTTTCTCTTTAGCTCTTTTTTCCGTTTTCTCTCATTTTCACTTGTTTTTCTTTTATTCTTATTCAGTTATTTTACGATCCATATATCTGCTTAACCAAGAAATAAATTGAGAAAGAGTTTTTTCTTCAAAAACTTACTATAAATTAAATACAGAAGGCGTATGCAGATTTAATTGATTTCAGCACTTAATAAAAGTGAATGTTTTCTCTGCAAAAAATTTAATGCAAACACATATGAATATGTGAATGTAACATAAGCAAACAGCACGCAAAATGTGTGTGAAAAATGTTAACTTATGAAAAAGTAAACAACTTTATAAATTTGAATGCAATTCTAACGACAAATTTAATAAAATAGTTACTTAATGTATACTTGACATGAGCAAAACATAAAGAGCTACACTAGCATACAATAAAACTATAATTGGACAAAAAGGTTAGAAGGAAAGTGAAAAAAGAAATGATTATTATTTCTCGTAAATGTATATGAAAAAAATTTGGATAATAGTTCTAAATCAAATTTTCTTTAGTTAAAGATCTACTTTCCTGTGCTTGTTGGTCTTAGCAAGATGATAACACACAATCCAAGTTTACTAAAAATTTAAAAAAAAATATACCTTTCAAATCGGCCTTTGTTTAAAATTTTAAATTTTTTATTATCTGTTTCGTAGACTCTTTTATATTGATCATCGCAGCGAAAGGATATGCGAGGCTTGCTTGTCACTCAGAAATTCGCATAAGCAAGGTCTAGAAAATACCTAATACGCACATATGCACCGAGATCCTCAGATCATCAATCCATGTACGCAAGCCCGTTTTTTGTCCGTCCTCGATTAAACGACTGCTAATAATCGCACAAATTAAACCCAAATTAGCTTCATTTGTTCTTAGTTAAATGGTCGTAGGTAACATGTAAAAATTAGTTTCGATTCCTGTCGAAACATGTTTAAAATAAATAAGGTGATGGCTGAAAATCAAATTCAAAAATTGCGTAACACCCAGAGTAGACGTTTTGATGGCCACCTTCAATAAGATTTTCAAATTGATCAATCATTTTGACATTACGAGGTGGTGAGAATAGTTGAATTGAGCTAAGTGTTTCAGATTCTATCTCAAGGACGCCGATTACGACCAAAAATCTGTGGTCTATATGTCATAGCTGATCACTGCATGTTGCTACAAACATTTCGCCATTTAAAAGTTCAGGCAAAATAAAAGCACCATGAGCACTGCTCTGTAATTGATTTGCTGGTTAATTTAAAATTGCGGCTTATTGCATGTAACTCGATACAATTCAATAATCGTATGCAGTCTTTAATACTGATATAAATACTATTGAATAGTAAACAATACATTGGAGGACAATAATTCTTGAATAGATTGTATGGCTCTACACGCATAGCACTGGTTATCGCTACATAAGACAAAGTTTAAAGAATATTCGTCATTTACCTGCTTGATATCACGAAAATGTAAATAGACGACTTGCACCGTTCAAAGGGTATAAATTTCGTCTGCAATAACGCAATCCATATTGCTCATGTATGTCTTCTCGATAGAAAGTTTAAAAAACTGGTCTTTTTTTTTGTTTTTTATCTAAACCATTTTCGATTTCTAAACCACCACGAATTCTCGACTTTCAGCCGATTTAAAAAGCTATTGTGCTTATATACATTTTTTTTGTATTAAAATTTCTAAAGTTTTGTGTCAGTATTCAAGTGAAAAATATTTTGATTTACTCACATATTTGGTTTATATTTTTCAATATACTTTGCGATTGTACATAGTCTAAATGCTAAGTTTCGTTGATTATTTTCAGAATTTTCATAAAGTTTGCTTCTATATATAGTCCTTCCTTAGTTCGGAATCACATTTTTATTTTGGCTTTACACTTTTTTGTTCTTGATTAACGTTATGCCCATACGCCTACAATTCAAAAATAGTTGACTTTAATAAATCGAGGCAATGGCTACGTAGTTTTGTCATAACTGCCACCACCCACCATATAATCATTAATGGCCTCAGTATTACAGCGCCACGAGCAGCTTCTTCGCCACACCAACGACTATATTGTTTAGACTAAGGGACATTTACAAATTCAATCTACCTGCTCTGTCATATTGGAAGAAAAGTAGTTATTTTGGTAAAATACACATGTAAAATATACTCGATAGGCAATGTTTATAATTAATTAACATTCGAAACCGTTAGCCGTCAATTCAAAAATTTTTCGTTATTAAATGATTTTAGCATGACGACAAAATCGACTGATTCATTAATTTTGTTATACTATTAACGATAATTTTCTTTATAGTAGTCCTTCTGCAGTATTTGTAATCTGGGTTGACATTTTATAAATTCCTTTTTGTTTGAGCTGCGTTTAAAGCTATCATGAGGCGAAGGTTTGTTAAGCCTATAGTTTAATTCGGTTAGATTCCAGACTAATTATCTTTCCGACTGGCCAAGTTTATATCTTTCCCCCGATAGCAATTTCGCTGTTCCCTATTTTTGGTTGCATTTTTAACGGATGCTTGTGGCACTTGTCAACATTAGTTAAATGGATTTCTGCATACACTCTGGCCGTAACTTCAGGAGATCTTGGGAAAAATTTCTGGATTGATCGTTCAGTCAACGGATCTGTAATGGCGGGTTATGGGACAGCTACAAAATTTATTCCACTGTTAATGAACAAGAAACTTTCCTCGCGAACATGACGAACTAAAGGCAAAAAGCGCGATTAATTACATCTCAGTTAACCTTCTCTGTACATCTTATTCTCTCTTATGATTTTTTGCATTTGCAAAGGAATACTGAAACTTCGCAAAGATTCCACGAATAGTGATAAATAAAATTCTGCTGACTATTTTACTTGGGACATGCTAAGTGGATATTATGAAGACATGTTAAGTTTCTGTAAAAGTCGGAGCTAAAATGAATTTATGAATCTTCGCAATTCGTACATAATTGTGACTTCTTTAACGTTTCCCATTAAACAGCTGCCAATATCTAATAGAATTTTTGTAAACGCTGAATGCTGTACTAATATCGGCTTTAGGGCTTAACATCACTTATTTCAATATATTTTTCAAGTCCGGACTACGTGACTAATTTCTCTCAATCTGATACATAAGCTATGAAGCCTTGACTAAGTAAACAATATTGATCTATAGTTTAAAACAATAATTAATATCGTCTTCCGCAGAAATTATATAAACGGCCTAAAACAGTTCTCAAGCTCATGTTAAGATTACAGAGCTTGTAAAGAGATTCGTTTTTCTCTTTCTCTGGTTAATATCTTGAAAAATACCAATTTGGAAAAACTGGTTGGATTCTCTGTAAAGTTAATTTCTCTATTAAAAAAGGGAAAAATAATTGAATGAGTTAATAAAATATAAAACTATAATACTTGTAATGTTAAGTAAAAAAAGCAATATCTGAAAGTAAATGTTAACCATTATAAGATATCATAGTACGAAACTGTTTTTTTTTAAAAGCAGCTTAATTAATCGGGCTATTAGGGGATCATATATATGTAAAATTTAATTGATGACAAAATCGAAACCAAAGTGTATGAAAGCTTGTCTTATAGTTCTTTTGGATTTGTAAAACTTTCGATCGTAATCGTAATTAAGATAAACTAACTTTGGAAATAATTAGGAAAATGTATTAAAATATTATTACGTATTTTTAAAAAATAAAAAAAGTAAACAAAAATCCAAACATTGTTAATAGAGCGTTTTATACTTCAGATGTTGCTTACCTGAAGTGATTGGAGTTTTTTGCAGGCATGAAAATGTGTCTACCACTGAAGAGTTCTTCTTTATAAATGCCGAAAAATACGCCTCGGGACTCTTATATGTATTATTGATTAGCGTGGGATTTTAAGTCAATATACGTCCAAAGTCTGCTTATTTGAATGCCATCTTCTTTTTTTTATTGCAATTGTCCGGATCTCGGAAATTGAAATGAAAATTCCAACTAAACCTATTCCATCCTTGTTAAATCTCTTTAAGAATATTATTAATTCTTCTCTAGAATTATTTTTAAATCTTCTCTAATTAAAGGAAACATATGTATATGGTTATGCTATACTACTTACATATAAAAAATTTTCACCCAAATATCAGGATTGCTTAATAAATATATTTGTGTCCTTGACCTGACCGACTGTTCTTTTATCTCTACGATTTTAATTTTTCGAGGCTGCAGATAAAGGAGAAGGAAGTTAAAAAAAAAGTGTGCTAGTAATTTTCAGCTTGTAGCGAGTAACAGTTTAAAAAATTGAATCCATTTAAATCCTTTTGGCTTATTAACTTAATCATTGCTAACCAGAAACGGTATAATTTTCATGTATATGGATTTGATACAGGTGATGATGGGTTTGTTCATCTTCTCATAATTTTTAAGGCTTTTTTTGCTAGAAAAAATAACTTTTGTTTTTCTCTAGATCGCTTTTGTTAATAGTTACACAACAAAAATAAGTTCCGTATACAAAAGAATCAATAAAAAAGGAAAAAGCATATAAACTACATATACAAAAAAAAAAAAAAAAAAAAAAAGAAAGCTGTTATATTAACAGCCAAAAGCAAAAAGATAGCAACATTTTATTTAAAAAGAAAAGCAAATCTCACGTCTCAGTTCCACACTCAGCCATCACTTAACAACTTATTTACAAATGAAAAACAATTTTTATACAAATACGTACACAAATACAGACAACTACCTAATTTATGTATTATGTATGCAATAAACTAGCTTAATAGCAAACAATTTATCTTTCTTTTTATAAAGAAATACATTTTTTATAAAAACAAACTAACTAAAAATAATTAAAACTAATGAAAGCAAACTTTTCGAATTTAGCAATTACAAAAACAACAACATATAAAAGAAACTCTACTTAAAATATTTAAGTAAATACAAAAATAGCAACAACAGCAACAACAACAACAAGCCGCCAGAGAGATTTTTTTCATTAACACACACAAAATCATTCAACAGCAACAGAAACTTATAAGCAATAAAAAAAAAAATAAATAAATACAATATTTATAGAAAATTAAAACACTCGCTGAAACAAAAAGCTAAACTTTAACCTGAAATTGTTACGACAAAAAAAAAAAAAAGAATAACGAAACAAAACAAAAAAAAAAAAATTAACACGTAAAAAAGGCCAGCAAACTGTTTTTCTAAGTTTAGAAGGAGTTTAAAAGAATTTTTTAGAAAACTTTTAAATCGTTTCTTATTTTATATTGAAGCAAATATTAAAAATACATTAGAAATTAGTTAAGTTTTTTTGGTTTTCCTTTTCTTTCAGTTGTAACTAAACACATATACAATACAACCGTTTAGCAATTACCTTTATACCAGCAACAATCTTCAAATTATACCAATAACAATCTTAAACTATTTTAGTCATGTAAGTCGTAATTATTTTAATCTTCTAAGTTTTACTCAGATTTCTAAAACACACTTGCTTTTTTTTTTGATTGTTTTAAGCTGAACCATTAAAAAAAAGAAAACTAAACAATGGGAGAACACAGAACATTAACATATAAAATAAAAATTAACTGATTTAAATATATTTTTAAATAATTATTTAAGACAACTATAATATATATTGTTTGTATGATTGAAAAGAAAAATATATATATATTAAAAATAAATAAACAAAAAAAAAATATCATTAAAAATAAAGTGAAAAAATGTTGGAAAAGGACGCGAAAAACTGAATTGAGAAAAACGTAAACTAAATAAAAAAGCAAAATAATTTATTATAATAAACCTTTAATATACAAGATATGTGTAGATAATTGTTTATCTATATATTGAATTATATATACATATATATATATATACATATATATTGAATTATATATATATACATATATATGTGTATATATATATATTTACTTTATACGTAAAAATATATATAAAAAACAATTATTTAAAAAATAAAAATTAATAAAAAAAAATATAGAAAAAGAGAAAATTGCACTTTTGTTGGAATTAAAATGGAAAGTAATGGCATTGGCGTTTAATACCGGTTCTCTTCATTTCAACAAACATCTTGTCATACTCGTTGCTTACAACAGATTATAAATCTGTCGATTAACATGAATAACAGAATCTATTTAGTGATGTCTGTCTGTGATCTATGTTGAAACCATACGCACGACTGATAAGATTGAATTCTTCTTCTCGCCATTCACGTTATGCTTTAAAGATATCAAAATTGTCTTCCATGTCTCTCCATTCTGATTAAATGACGAAAATCTGTTTTTTTTTTTATAAAATTATAACTTTAAACTCGTTTATGAGAGCTTTCTAAAAACCTTTAAACGCCAGTTGGATACACATTACCGAAGTAAAGAATACCGTTTCAACTTATGTAGACAAAATTAAAATTTTTTAGCTACTAAGTCGTACGGAGCCTTACGAAATGAACGAACAGACAATGGAAAACATTGACCTTAAAAAATCTATTAGAAAAGAAATACGTGGCGGCAAAAAGTCGGCAATACCATTGTCCACACTATTCGCCTGTTAAATCTGATCTTATTCCCCTTATATATCCACTCACGCCGTGGCAATCAAGCTTAAGATAGTTGCGAGAATTCCTCTTGGTCATATCATTGCAACACATCAATGGATCCTTAAGGAATATACTGTGGTTTTTCCTTCTTTTCAAACTTAAAGAGCAAAAAAAGAAGGTACTCCGTTCTCTTCACGCAAAGATATATTATTTCTTCCGAAAATCGCTTTGTGCAACCGGCCATAGGATTAACTTGTGTGAAAAGGATGATGTTCGCCTAAAACTGAAGCAGAAAATTAAAAATGTTGTGCCTATAACTTTTTCGGCGTTTACTCATAAAGTACACCGTTTGATAATTCAATGATTACTTCGTAAAGAATGTTAAAAAAATTATCACAATTAACACAAAAATGTCATAATGAAATTAGGTATTGGTAACTTCTTAGAATATTTATCGAAGGCAAAGTGGATGAAGTCAGCCGGCTTGAATCGTAGTGTTCGAAGGAACTAGACAAGGTGGAACATTCTAAACATAGCTTGTGAATCAATCCACCTGACTGGACGGGTAGGTTTAAGAACTCTACTAACAACCAATGACCGTGACAACAAGCCTTAGATGCTACTGTTTTTAACACTTTAGTCTTTGAATTTTGCAAATAAAACCTGTGCTAAATTTTAAAAATCACAATGCAGTCGTATAAAATAAATTTCAAAAGGAGGCGGATAAATACGTAGAATCACACGTTATGTTAAAGTATATTTGAGAGGCTATTTAGGATTATGTAAATTTCCCTACATAATCTTTATAGAAAAAATTAAAATCGAACTTGCTTTCATTCTTCATTCTTTTTATTATTATTCTTGTTTTGCGCTCATTTATATTAATAATAGCCCTTTAGCCACTTCTCTGGTTTTTTCTTCACCAGCTAAAACTTCAGATATTTTTAAAGCAAAATCGAAAGCGGTGCCCGGCCCGCGGCTGGTTATAAGCTTGCCATCCTGTATCACTTTCTCATCGTCTACGTATCTACAAAAAAATCAACTTTCAGAGTAAGAAAACTCGTGATTCAATAGAAGATGAACACTCTTACTTGTACAACGAGTCCAATTTTGGCTTAAGGCCAGGGTAAGATGTCAAAGTTTTACCCAAACCAATAGAATGAGCTGCCAAAACGGTAGGCGCTGCACATATTGCAGCGACGAAGCGTTCTTCTTTTTCTTGTTTTTTAAGAAGTTCACCCAAAATATCTGATTTAGACATCTCTTCACAGCCACATATGCCACCCGGCAACACGACCACGTTAAATTCTTCGTCTTTTACTTTTTCCAAAGACGTATCCGGATTGATGACTACATCTCTTGAACATTTTACCGGCTTATCAGATAAACCGGCAACCGTGACCTTGATCTAAAAATAATAGCGCATCACTGTCGCAGTCTTTGATAAAGAAGCATTTTTTCCTTCCCTTACCCCAGCTCTACGTAAGACATCTGCTGATATTACAAATTCCATTTCTTCTGCACCTTCAGCCAAAACAATTAATGCAGTTTTCGGCATTTTTGTATTTCCTGCTAGAAATCTGTGAATTTGTAAATAATTTTTTTCTTTATAACTAAACTGCTGTCTTAAATAAATTTTTTGGAGTAGGGGAAAACGAAAAAATACACGATTGACACTAGACATAAGCTGCCAATTTTTGTTAATGTAATCTTTTTTCTTCTTCCGCGAGTAAGCAAATCAACAATAGACGACTTACTGAGTTGACTAAAAAGGTTCAATTTTGCGACAGTAAACACACAGGGTAATAGGTTTACAACACAAATGCACACAAAAAAGCTTTACAAGAATATTGGTTTTTTAAACAGGGTTGTTATTTACAAAAATGCTTTGCTGCATTAGTCGGAAAATTATAAATTTATAATCATATATATTTACAAAATATCACAATCACAACTGTACATTATTTCTTTTTCCCAAGAACAATAAAAACAAAGCAAAAACCAATGATTTACAAGAATCACGAAACATATGGTCTTTCTACGAAAACTATTTTATGAAAGTTAAATAAAGATGGTCGTGTTTCGGAACTAAATATTATTATTATTATTATTATTATTATAAATTTAGCCAGAGAATAAATTCTAAGACTAAAGTCTTAAAGCACTAGCATCTAGGCCTATCGGCTTTTTATTAAAAACTCTACCGCACTTGAGGTTTGAACCCACGACTATTGAGTTGCTAGTCGAGACTCTTGCCTACTCGGCCACTCAGGCGGATTCGGAGCTAATTAAAAAGCGTTGTCGTTAATATTCTTGGTTTTCATATGCTTTATAAGTAATTAGGTAGAATTAATTGCTATATCAAATTTTTGTTTATATAATTAATATATATAGTTTACGTGTTAAGTAGTAGAAAAAAATTAATTTTTAAGTGTTTTAAGAAGAGCGAAATATTTTTTCGGCTGGGAAAAGAACAGTAAAAACTGTTACTAAAGGAGATTCGATTTTTAACAAAGGAAACGAAGTTTAGAAGTCTTTTGCGTTGATTTAGACGCAGAATATTAATTAATACTTTGGTGAATCTGTTCGCAACCAGGCTTTCCTAGGAAAACCGTTCACTATGGCTCAAGATTTTTTTCATGATCGTAATATAAACGATCTTTCAAACTATGTGAAGCTGAGCTACAGGTAAAAATTAAACGTTGTAGCCCATGTGCCAGATATAATTATATGTCACATTATGCGGCAGATATTTTATGTTGTATGCAATTAGAACCAATGGGTTATAAAACAAAAAAAAAAAATTGTATTAACGCAATTGTCGAATGTGAAGTTAATTTTATTTTGTACGATAAATTTTAAAACATTTGCCAATACGCAGTCCAATCGGTTGTCAATTGTCGGTTTTGAAAATCTCACAATCATAGAAGTAAATTTTTCATTCTGTACTAACAATTTGGCAGAGTCCGTCTCCGTCTAAAGACCAATCCTAGTCTTCATACATTTTATCGCTTAAGAAATTAACGATTTCGTTAAGTAGACAAACGACATTGTGCGAATCGCACGTCATGTTCTGTAGCAAAGCTGTTTGTTAACAATCTTCTAACCCAAGTTGTTGTTGGATGCAACTTATGTGTTTAATAATATTTTTTGTGTTTATGCTAATGGTCTGTCTAAAAACTATAGGCTGCATTAAGTTTAAGGCTAATCGAAAGAGCCACCTTATGAGAATAGGAGGCTGACGAGACCGATGTACGCGCTTTTGCTAAGATAGCTAGTTCGTGAGATGCGGGGGTTTTACATTTTGGCTCTCGAACACTCCTCAGACATTTATATGTAAAAAATGAGCACGTAAGTACTTACTCTTTAACGAGGGGACGAGCGGACGATATCTGACCTATAGAACTGGGCCCTTCATTAGTGGCCCTACCTAACGGTTCTTTCCTTTGCATATTAATCAATATTTAATATGTTAAAATATATAATAGTTACGGATTAATTTTTTTTTATAAAATATAGTGAATACAAATGTGAGTGGTCGGGAATGTAGTTTCGGGAAAATAGTTACATATATTTATGGAAAATATGCAAGACCACAATTATTGGAGGTTAATGTTTCCTATTTGTTTGGCGAGAAACCATTCGATAGTGAGTGTCGCCGTTGTTATCGCTAGAACTGCCTATAGATGTGCTATTCGTACTCGTACCAGTAGCTTGATTGACCGTAGTGCGTGCTGGGTAAGGTATGGTAAATAGATCTATATGTATAGTATCACATTAACTCCTGAGTGGTCCAAATTAGCGTGAACCGGAGTAATCATACTTCTGGCACTACGAAATTAAAATATTGCTTAAGGAATAATAGATCTGGACTTAAAAGAGATCAATCCAAAGATTGCAATATATTGGCCACTTTAGCTACCACCAAGGCAAAGGCCATAAAGTATAAAGAGACGTATTCCACAAAGATATTCTCTGGCGATTTCTGAGTAATAATAAGTGCCGGTAATGTCACTAGCGTCAATGATGTACTCGATGATAGAACGTTAGTTTCAGCCAACTGTGGATCCATTTTTACTGCACTCCTCATGGTTTATCACTTACGCGTAGCAAAATATAAAGGCGTAGTGCGTACTTTCACATCCAGGACATCTTAGCTTCGTTAAGCAGAACTCCACACTAAACACAGTCGATATTAAATGCTTACCAACGATCGTTAATTGAGCTTGAAATTTTCCAGAATGTAGAGCGTTCCAAACACAAGTTTGTCAATGGGCGCAATCACACAAATCAATAGCACAAAAATACTGGAAGCATAACTAGTTAGAATATCGACCGTTTCTCTTCTCTTTCTGCTGGTTACTAAAACAGTCTCAGTTTTCTGAGACAGTTTTTTACCCGTAAGCCATGCGTTCATGTCACTTGTGACCCTTCTAACATGGTCTTACATTTGTTGCAGTTTTTTGGCTTCAGAAAAAACGGTCTCATTGTCGGCATATCTTATTACCTTAACGTCTCTTAGTACCACTAGCCTTCGTAGCTCATCATAGAGTATATCTCAAAGAAACTGGCCCAAGAATGAAGTCTCGTGGAACGACGGCGGCCAAGTTGTATGTTTTGATGTCTATTTCCATTTTGTACACCAGCATCCTATCAGATAACTAGCTCCTCATTAAAATCATAAGATATAAGAGCACAAGAAGATTTTGGAGTAGTTGCTTGATGTTGCCCAGCCGAGTTGAAGGCATTCTTTATGTCCAGAGTGATAACAGCACAGTACTTTTTGCTACCGTTTTTCCATTTGCTGCTTTATAGCGTTTTTGGCAATAATTTTGGCCTGGAGTAGAGCGTTGACGGCTGACCGCCCCTTCGGGAACCTGTACTGCTTATTCGAGACTTCGCATCTTGCATTGGAGAATGTATTCTTACCCAACATTTTCTCTTTTTCTCCTTATGATTAAGCGGTTGTTTTGCTTTGATCATTTCTTTCCGCGAAGCGTTTTCCCTCTTCTCTTAAATTCATTTTTGTAGTCCTTTAGTTCATTCATTGTCAAACATTAGCTTGATCATTTTCCTATCGTTGTTTTTATATATTGATTGATTATATACATATATAAGCCGATATCTCTATTTTTACTTCTGATATCTTTCATGTGAGTTATTTCTATTTAGATCGATTTTCTTATTGCAATTTACACCACTTGTGGCACAAGATATATTAACTATGTGCAGATATACGGAACACCCAGAACGATTCAGATAATGATTCTGGGTCTGTTCGTTCGTCTGATCTATGTTCATGTAAACGTGTGTTCAACTTACAGGTCGCAATTTCTAAGATATTTTGATGAAATCCATTGTTTTGAATCGTATTGAATATGGTTCGTATGGGTCGACTTTTCTGATCATTACGTCGATAACGCCTTATCAAAGTCAAACAAAAAAATTGCAAATTTCAACTTTTGACTCTCGTCTCAAATTTCAATATATCGCGGTGGACGTTGGTTTATAAGACTAAATTGACAAAAAAGTGAACTTAACCGAATTTGGACCACATAGGTCTTATTTGTTGGTTACCGCTACACATAAAGATTCCCGGAAAATATGGACTTTTTTTGCCAAAAAAGCCAGATTTGATGGCGTTCTATGATCGCTAAAGCGATCCAAATATCTCGCACTACCACAGGTTGAAAATTCCCTTTGGAATAGTTCATTGGACAGCCTTCTTCGCCAGAATCTCAGTTTGGTTTCTTCCTCCTTCGATAATCTTGAGGTAGTTTCTTTATTAATCTTTTCCGGAATCACGATCCAATTTGAGACAGAACTGTTTCTTTGGTTTCAGTTTATTCTTTTCTTTCAAATTCTTTTCGTTATACAAGCTAAGCAAATTTGTTTTTTTTTTTTTTTACGGAAAATGTATTTATTTAAATTTGCAAACTGATGAAGATTCGAAGACTAGACCATGCCGGCGTTAATTAAATTTTCAAAATTGTAATTAAATTTAATCATAATTTTTTTTAAATTTTCACTTTAAAAATAGAATTTCACATTTCAATTCAAAGACGTAATGTTCAAAATGGAAACGATTCGAATAAGAAAATTTACATTAGAAAGCTCTTGCTTATAAAGTAGCTTCAGCAATAGGAACACTGAAGTATTTGAAAGTCCAAGATTTAGAATTTTGTGTCTACCCACTTATTATCACGTCTAAAAGAGATTTACCAAAAAAGCATTTTAAGCGAGGCAAAGGCTGTTAGTATGGTGCAGAGTTTGCAAGTTCGAACTAAGAATTTTTGAAACCATCACCAAAGAATGAGGGCTACATTCATTTTGACGTAATGTTTCGAACGACCAGAAGGAAGCAAGAGAGACCCCATAAGATATATATATGCTTGATCAGCATCAAATTGTAAAACGATTTAAGCACGTCCATCTGTCCGTCTGTGTAATGTCAATTGTAAATACACTTCTGGCCGCGAAGCTAAAGCTATCGACTTCAATTTCGGCAGAAACGTAGCAAGTTTTTGCTTGGTATTGAAAATGGGCCAAATCGATCGAAGGAAATGCCCACCACACCACGTAAACACAGATCGCCTCTGCTTTTCAAAAGGAATAAAAAATTGATTTTTTGATCATTACTTATAAAGTGTAGCAGATAGATGTACAAAAATTTGAATGCACATTCTACGGGCGATGCAGTAGCACTTGTACAGAAATTGGAAAATATTGGCAGCGTCTATCCAATAATGTA